CCTTCCTTCCTTCCTTCCTTCCTTCCTCCTTCCCTTCCCTTCCCCTTCCCTTTCCCTTTCCCTTTCCTTCCTTTTCCCTCCCTCCCTCCCTTCCTTCCTATAACATCAGTTCTTTCAATTATAAATGGAGCTAATATGATTTCCTGTGCTTACCTGACAGGGTTATTGTGGATCTTATAAGCCTAATTTTTGTGAAGGGGCTGCCTGAGGGTAAAACAGTGCACACTGGTCAGGGCTGGGACATTGCAGATGGCAAAGGTGGTTTTTTCCTGTGATTGTCTGTGGGTTAAGTTGTCCCTCTAGGGACCCTGATTTCTGAGTTCTGATTTCTGAGACCCTGATTTCTGAGTTTGGTCAACACTGACATTTCATTGTTTTTCAACACAGATGTCTGTCTTTTAGTGCAAAGACCACACACTTTTAGAGTCAGATAGACCTAGGTTGGAATCTTGGTTCAGGCACTGACTACTGGTTGACTTTGGAGAAGCCCCGTAACTTTGCTAAGCATCAGTGTTTTCATTTTCTCAGATGGGGCTGTGAATATCTATCTCATGGTGCTATAGTAAAGATAAAATTAGACATTGCAGAGGTGCCTGGGTGGCTCCATCAGTTAAGTGTCTGACTTTGGCTCAGGTAATGATCTTAAGGTTCTTGAGTTTGAGCCCCGCATTGGGCTCACTGCTGTCAGTGCAGAACCCACGTCGGATCCTCTGTCCCCCTCTCTCTCTGCCCCTTCCCCGCTCTCTCTCTCTCTCTCTCTCTCTCTCTCTCTCAAAAATAAATAAACATTAAAAGAAATAAATTAGACATTGCAGCTAAAGTGCCTACCATACCATACTGGAGGCACTTTTTATTTTTTTCAACGTTTTTTTTTTATTTTTTTTATTTATTTTATTTATTTTTGGGACAGAGAGAGACAGAGCATGAACGGGCGAGGGGCAGAGAGAGAGGGAGACACAGAATCGGAAACAGGCTCCAGGCTCTGAGCCATCAGCCCAGAGCCCGACGCGGGGCTCGAAGTCACGGACCGCGAGATCGTGACCTGGCTGAAGTCGGACGCCTAACCGACTGCGCCACCCAGGCGCCCCTGGAGGCACTTTTTAAATGCTCCTTTCCCTTCTTCTGAGTTCTTTAGCTATTGTAGTCATGCGATTAGCTGGGCTGAGTGTCTGAGGAAATTGAATTCCTTAATATTCTGACATGTAACAAGGCCCCTCCCCAATTTCATGATCATAGGTTTGAATTTTTCTCCCTTTGTACATTTCGTCACTTCCAAAACTTCTGCAGCCCAAGGCGAGAGCCCATTCTCCCCAGAGCCACTGGTTCCTACGATACTTCCCATGGGTTCCAGGAACGGTCTGGAAGCCACTTACATTGAAGAGTCTCAGATGAGGACCTGAAAGTCAGGTGTTCCACTCTGCCATTTCTCCCTGTCGCACATGGCGTCCGCATGGCCCTGAGCCGAGGGGCTGCTCTCTGGTCTGTTCAGAACACTTCCTATGCCTTTACAATGACTTGGTTCAAACACCATTTTTTTCTGGTCCTCCTAGTAGTCTGTGCATGAGAGAGGGATTACTCTATGTAAACCTAGGTGCCGACAGGTTTAGTGACTTGCCCAAAGTCATCAAGAATGGACAGAGACCAGGTTTTGTGAATACCTAGTCCAGTACTCCTATGTCTTGGGCCAGATATCCTTAGCTGTGGGTTCCATGGGAAGGAACTATGGATCTCTAGTGGATTAGCAGAACCCCAGAGGTGATTGCTTAGACTCATTATGGTAAATAAGCCCAGTTATTTAGGAGAGAATTTAATGTTTTCCAAAAGATACAGATCATTGTTTGAGTCCAAAGTACTTCCATTTGCCATCTAGGTACACAATTAATTCCGGGAAAGCCAAGTAGGTCTTTACCCAGATGTAAGGGGGCATATTAGGCTCTATGCGTGTAATAAAATCCACGTTCCAGAACTTGCAACAGTTTAGTGCAGGTTTATAGTGAAAGAGACATGGATTATGGACCCCGGTGCACTTGGATTTGAACTTCGATGCTACCATTTACTCAGCTTTGTGACCCTAGGCACTTCTCTTAACCTCTCAGAGCTTCGGGTTGCTAACCTATGAATATGGAGACCCTAACACCTTCATGGCTAATGATGGTCAGGGCGTCTCTGCACGGCTCAGGGGACGCCCTTCCCATTGGACACTTGTGCACGTGGTACTGGCTAGGGTTGTGCATCACAGGGGCCCTGGTTTATGGTGAAATTAGATGAAATACCGTCTTAGGTGCTTCCTGCGTCTTTGTTTTTATCTCCCGAGTTGGTCACGTGTGTGCTGTCTTACCAAGATTTCCTCCGCTTTACCATGAGGGGGGTCAGCATCCTGCCACCTGATAGTACTCTTGCGGGGCACGCCACGAAACTGGATGTCATGTTGCAAGCTAACCGTCGGTGGTCTTCTCATGTAGGAGTCCAACACCCAAGCCCTTAGAGAGATGCGCCACACCCAGGTCTGTCTGTCACAGCCCCTGTCTGTGGACCGAGGTCTCTTTCTGGCAATTGGTTTTTAAAGTTTATTTATTTATTTTGAGAGAGAGAGAGGCAGAGGGAGAAAGAGAAAGAGAGGGAGAATCCCAAGCAGGCTCCGCACCATCAGTGCAGAGCCCGACCTGGGGCTCGAACTCACAAACCGTGAGATCATGACCTAAGCCCGAATGAGGAGTCAGACACTTAACTGACTGAGCCACCCAGGCGCCCCTCTTTCTGGCAGTTTTAAAAAGGATGCTGGGCCCCTTAGGATTTCAGGGAGTTCGGACTCTTGTGATGTAGACCAGTTATCCTGCTCTTCCTTCTTTCTGCTAGTTTTTCAAGCATGCGTGCCTCCACCTGACAGACCACGTAAGGCCCTAGGAACCCAACGATGTGTAAGATATGGTTCCTGACCTCACCTAGCTCGAGAGTATAGTCAGGGAGCTAGGCTAAGACAACGCAAGACCAAGACTTAGGGCGTACGAAGGAGTGGTCGGAGAATACAGGACGTGTTTATGGTTCAGAGAACAACAAGGGGTGTCTGAGGACTGCTTGTCTACGTTCAGAGCCCAAACCGAGGCCGAATGCAGACTTCAAGCTTCTGTGGGCCGCGGGCCTGGTGGGAAGTGGACCAAGGTTGGAAGTGAGTCTCCTCACCCTGAATCCGCTGCCTGGCTCATCATCCCACCTCTTACCTGTCACTACTTTTAGGTTTCGTTTTACCTAAACAAAGGTTTGTGTACCTAAACAGAATTTTTGCCTCGTCTTACCTCTTTTAGGCCTGTTTCCTGCTCAGAACAGAGTGGCTACCTTGAGCACATCTTTCATTATGATTCACGCCAACTTGAAGAAAAAGTTCAGCTGCTGTGTGCTGGCCTTTCTGCTGTTTGCAATCATCTGTGTGTGGAAGGAGAAGAAGAAAGGGACTTACTATGATTCCCTTAAGTTGCAAAGCAAGGATTTCCAGGTGTTGAGAGGTCTGGAGAAACAGGCTGAGACTTCAAGCAGCACCCAGGACCCCCACAGGGGCAGCCACGCCCTCAGCAGCCCCCGGGGCCCAGCCAAGGCCAAGCCGGAGGCCTCCTTCCAGGTGTGGAACAAGGACAGCTCTTCCAAAAACCTCATCCCCAGGCTGCAGAAGATCTGGAGGAACTACCTGAATATGAACAAGTATAAAGTGTCCTATAAGGGGCCAGGGCCGGGGGTCAAGTTGAGTGCCGAGGCCCTGCACTGCCACCTCCGGGAACGTGTGAACGTCTCCATGGTAGAGGTCACAGATTTTCCCTTCAACACCTCCGAGTGGGAAGGCTTCCTGCCCAAGGAGAACATTAGGACCAAGGCTGGGCCGTGGGGCACGTGCGCTGTGGTCTCATCGGCAGGATCTCTGAAGTCCTCCCAGCTCGGCCGAGAAATAGGTGGGTTCTGGGGTGTTAAGGTGAGTTGAGCAGCCAGTGCCCCCGTGGAGCTGGGCATGTGGGTGGGACTGGAGAGGAGGGGCCCACGTGTGGCTCCGTGGACTGGCAGAGTGGGCCCACAACAGTGTTTTTCGGCCTTCTTGTATGAGTCAGAGGTACCGTAGGGCAGCTGAAAGGGTGGGGATCCAGGCTGCCGGCATCTTTATCAACGAGAAGAGCTTTGCTTGTCTCTTTTTTACTGATTAATGGATTAATTTCATTTTAGAGAGAGAGCATGAGCAGGGGGGAGGCAGGGGCTGAGGGAAAGAGAGAAAATCTTAAGCAGTCTCTGCCAGTCTCTGCGCTCAGTGCTGAGCCCAACGCAGGGCTCGCTCCCACAACCCTGGGATCATGACCTGAGCTGAACACACAACCTACTGAGGCACCCAAGTGCCCCTGCCAAATTTTATTATAAAGCTATGACCACTATAGGTGCAAGAGCAGCGAGGATGAGTTTCCAGGCCTTTGAGTCAAAGGACCCGGTTTGTAGTGACAGTGCATTGTTTATCAGTTGTGTAATCTCTGAGCCCCAATACTTAGCTCATCAGTTGAATGGGAACAGTAATTGTCCCGACGTCACGGGATTACTGGGAGGATTAAAAAGCAAGGCACGCTGGGCACACAGCAGGTGCACAGTAAGCGTTATCCCTGTTGGTTATGATGTTTTAGAAGTATGCTATTGCTTCAAATGAACATGCAAACAAATCTAAGAGACCTTACATATATGTGTATCAAAATTATTTGAGAATTACTGTGCCCACCATTGGCTGGTTTGAGGTGTGAGGCTGGAGACACGGCACATTATCACAATCCCTCGGGCAAACAGTTTTACAAGGACACAAAAGGAGCCATGAAACTTACCTTACTTTGTTTGGTCTTCTGGACCCACTGCTGTGGATATTTCCCCTCTAGTCACTTAAGTTATCCGCCCAAAACCCCTGTTAGTGGTGCAGTGTGTAAGAGCAAACCATTTGAAACCATCCAATATGTTCAATAGTGGAGAAATAGCTGGACAGATTCCAGGTAGAGTGGGAAGGCTATGGGCGAGGCATGCTGCCTGATGCTCCCAGGCCTTCAGCAAAAGGCCTACCCCCTCTCTTTCCCCTCTGTATTCTAAGCTCCTGCTCTGTGTTGTTGATAGATCCGTGAAGGAATAAATGAATGAATGAGGGACGCCCGGGTGGCTCAGTCAAGCGTCTGACTCTTGATTTCGGCTCAGGTCATGATCTCACAGTTCTTGAGATCGAGCCCCGCATCGGGGTCGGTGCTGACAGTGCTGAGCCTGCCTGGGATTCTCTCTCTCTCCCTCTCAGCCTTCCTGCTCTCTCTCTCAAGATAAAAAAAATAAACTTAAAAAAAAGTTTGTAAAGAATGAATGAATTCCTTAAAACATTTGTTAGGCTAAATGCCCAGAGGAGATGCCCTATTAAAAAGCAGAACATTTGGGGCGCCTGGGTGGCGCAGTCGGTTAAGCGTCCGGCTTCAGCCAGGTCACGATCTCGCGGTCTGTGAGTTCGAGCCCCACGTCAGGCTCTGGGCTGATGGCTCAGAGCCTGGAGCCTGTTTCCGATTCTATGTCTCCCTCTCTCTCTACCCCTCCCCCATTCATGCTCTGTCTCTCTCTGTCCCAAAAATAAATAAACGTTGAGAAAAAAAAAAAAAATTTTAAAAAGCAGAACATTTGAAGTCCAACGTGCAATTTTTGTTACGTCTCAAGATCAAAGTTTTTCCAGGGAAATACACACTTGAAACTATAACTCTAGTCTATAGAAAAAGGTTATTCTAACGTTTATGCAAATCACTCCAAACTTGTATGGAGTGCATAAAAATACAGGCGGTTCCAGTTCATAGAAGTATCGGGCTCTCCCTGAAACCGCAACGCAATTCTGCCCCGGCAGACAGTGATGATTTCACGTGAAAAAGAGCATCAGCTAGCACCTGGGACATTCTAAACATGACCACTACAGAGCAAAAATCAGGAAGGAAGAAAGGATGAAGGAAAGGATCCATTCTGGATGAACAAAAAACCTCCACACTGAGTTTTTAGAAAACACAGCCCCAAAGAAACCAGAAAGGCAAAAGCAGAAGTGGGGGTGGGGCCAGTCACCTTGGCAGCTTTTATTAGGAAGTACTGACTATTTGGGGAAGCACAAAATGTGATCTCACCACTTCTTTCTGCTGCAGAGAATCCCATTTGGGTCTACTTTTCTTCCTTTGAGAGCCTTTCAGACCATTTTTCCTGGCAGTTATGTGCAGGGAATAAAAAAGGAGACATATGACCTCACCTGCTCCAGGACCTTCCAGAGCCTGACAGAAGAGGAAGGCTTCCTGTGCTTTGCTTTCTTTAGCCTGATTCATTTCACAAGGATGGAAAACACATTCTCTCCAAATAAGGGAACTAAGGAGCCTAAAGCAACTGCATTTCTTTGTGTTGCACACATGTTTATAAATATGGACAGGCTTTCCATCTTTATTAACTGTGAAGGATTTCTTAAAAAAGCAAATTGATAGGTTCTGACTTTTAACCTTGTGGGGTCACAGAGACCTCTAAGAATAATTGGCTGGAAGCTATGGACTTTCTCTCTGGAAAAACGCATAGACTGATTTAATACACACACACACACACACACACACACACACACACACACACACACACACTTTATACACACCTAACCCACAGGTATTTTGCACATGATTTTAGAGATTCATGAATCCCCTGAAGTTGGTCCACAGTCCCCAGGTGAAGAATTCCTACTCCAGTAATGGTTTTCAAACAGAAAGGCTGAAAATTATTCAGGTAGGTGAAGCCAAAAGAGACAATTAGTCCTCATGTAATCAGTAAAATTACAGAATCTCAGGACCTGAAGATACAGTAGGAATCAGTGCTTCTATTATTTTTAAATCTCCATTATAGTGTTGTGCTTATTGGTAGTGACAGGACTCACTTTTCTAACAAGATCTTCTGCAGAATAGCAATATTTAAAACAGAGACAGCAGGGTGCCTGGATAGCTCAGTCGGTTGAGTGTCCAACTCTCAGGTTCCAGGGTCGTGGGATTGAGCCTCACATCGGACTCCATGCTCAACATGGAACCTGCTTGAGATTCTGTCTCTCTGCCCCTCTCCCGCTCACTCACTCTCTCTCTCTCTCTCAAATAAAACATAAAATAAAAATTTTGATGTGATGAATCCCTTATCAGCTTAAAAAAAAACCCCTTCATATTCTCACTTACTTGCTCTCCCTTAGGAGAAGGGCATTCTAGTTGAGAATTTCCAGGGGAGAAGTGCCAGGATTGTCTGAGCGGTGATCGTGGTGGTGGGTCTGATTTGAGAAGAGGCAGAAACTGGTGTCTAACTAGAAATGACCTTGAGTGATCAGCAGGAGCCAGAGTTTCTAGCCTGGGAGCGGGCTGTCTCCTATCACAGGGGAGCCTGCTTCTAGAGGAAGACAGGTGCTGTCTTGGAAATGCTGAGTCTGATGTGTTTGTCAATTCCCTGGGTAGATACCTATGTGATTTGGTATTTGATTCCGGGGAAGGGTCAGGGTGGGAGATCAGATTGAGGAGTCCTTTGTGCTGAGGTGATAGTTTAGTCCAGGAGAGGGCTGAGGAGAAAACCTAGAGAAAGTATACATTCAAGAGATGGAGAGGGGCGCCTGGGTGGCTCAGTCGGTTGAGCATCCGACTTCAGCTCAGGTCATGATCTCATGGTTTGTGAGTTCAAGCCCTGCGTCGGGCTCTGTGCTGACAGCTCAGAGCCTGGAGCCCGCTTCAGATTCTGTGTCTCCCTCTCTCTCTGTCCCTCCCCTGCTCACACTCTGTCTCTCTTGCTCTCCAAAATAAGTAAAGATTAAGAGGTGGAGAAAGAACAGGGAAGGCGGAGACATTCAGCAGGCCAGTGAGAAGGAACAGGGAGAACTGGGTGTGTGTCATATGCAAGGCAAGGGGAGTGGAGTTTGGGCAGATTCTGGGCAGATGGAGTTCTTGTGCAGAGTGAGGACTGAGAAGACATCCCTGGATCGTGTAGCTCAGAAGGTATGATTGTTTGTATCAGGGATCGGCAGACATTTCCCATGAAGGGCTGGACAGCAAATATTTTTGGTTTTGAGGCCATAGAGTGTCTCTCACAGCTACTCAACTCTGCGGTTGTAGTGGAAAAGCAAACTAGACAGTAGTAAATGAATGAACCTCATTATGTTCCAATAAAACTTTATTTGCAAAACAGAGAATGGGCCAGTTTTGGCCTTCAGGCCATAATTTCCTCGCCCTGATGTGTATTATATCTAGTTTTCCTGACCAGAACCAGAATTCAGCCTTCCAAATGTGCTTACATGATTTATTAAGCTCATTTGAAAATACACAAAGAGGTTGGTCTAAACTATGATAAAATTTCTTTCATTATTATTTCCAGCTATTTAGAGTTACTGTACCTGGAGGCAGTAGATTTTGGTGTATTGATGAATTTACTAATGAGCTGATTCTGTTGAATATTCTTGGCATGCAGTTATATCCTGAGCATATGGTGGTGCATTTATTTCTTCATTTTCTAATTTGTGTCCCTCTCTTTCTCTCAGTCTAAGTTAAACAGAAGTGGTGGCCCCTGTTTTCTGCAGCCTTCCCCTTGCAGGGCTCATTTGCTGGGCTCCCAGTAGCTGTGGCTTTTTCCTGGCGACTTCCTGGAGGCCTATTTGATTTCAGAACTTCTTCGCCTTCACTAGCAAAGCACTGTTTTGGCAAACGAGGATGCTGTCCTCCTTCTTTATGAGCCCAATTTAGTGGCCTGTTTTAAAGTTTTCTTCTTTGATTGGTTTTTTTTTTTTTTCTTCCTTAGAATAAAATCCAGACTTCATACCTGTGGCCTCCACAGCCTGTGTGGCCGGGTTCCTGCCAGCTTCTTTAACGCATCTTTTCTTTCCCTCACCTCACTCGTCTCCAGACAAGTCCTTACTCTCCTTAGGGTCCCCACAGTGCTGCACCCTCTGGCTGAAATATACTTCCCTAAACCCTTCTTGTGCCTGGCCTCCCTTTGGATGGCAGCAGCATGTCCCAAATCATCACACCATACAAAGGAGATCCCTTCAGGGCCCCTGTTACACAGCTCACTTTATCTGTGCCATAGTATTAATCACAGTCTGTAATTATCTTGAGTAGAGGTTGCTGGGCTCATTTATTGGTTTCCTCCTTGCAGTAGATTACAAGATCTAAGGTCTAAGGGCAAGGACCTTATTATCTTTCTTGCTCACGGCCATTGTCTCTAGCACCTAGAACTGTGCCCAACAGAAGTAGGTGCTTAGTCAGTATTTGTTGAATGAACAAAAACATGTTGTTTCCTGATGGTCAATACCAAGGATGTATCCTAAGCCTCTGGTGCTGGGTGTTCTCCATTTAGCCCTCCAGACCCACTCTCTTCCTTTTCCTGTCTGACCCTGTGCCCTGGGAATTTACATTTGGGACCATGTCAGCTGGGCTTCCTTCTCCTCTGGCTTTTATTTGGGACTGGACAATACAAGTGCTGCTGTAAAACTGAGAAGGGAGAGAGTGAAGTCGGAGTGCCTGTCCCCCCCGCCCCCCGCCCCCAGCTCTCTCCGTGCAGAATAACCACAGACTGCTTCTCTTCCCGACTAAAAGTTCAGCTCCTTTCAAGCAGCCCTCTCTGTCTCTGAGCCCTGCTCTCTCTCTTTACCCTCAGGCCGAGAAATCAGAGGCAAGGAGGAGAGAGAGGTTGAGGAATCGATTCCCTTCTCACTGCCTAGACATTAGCAGTAGCTGTATTCCCCTAACAGCCACCAGTCCGGACAGGTGGCCTTCTTCAGTTCAGGGCCTCTGCTCTGCTTGCCACGTTAGGTGCAAGGGTAGGAATGGCTCCCACTGTGGCCAACCCTGGGGTTTCGCCCATTCCTTGTTGATTTCTTTAACTTCTACCTGCCGGGTGCCTGGGTGGCTCAGTCAGTTAAGCATCTGACTCTTGGTTTTGGCTCCGGTCATGATCTCACGGGTTGGTGAGTTCGAGCCCCCTGTCGGACTCTGTGCGGGCAGGGCGGAGCCTGCTCGGAATTCTCAGTCTCCCTCTCTTTCTCTGCTCCTCCCCAACTCGTGCTGTCTCTGTCTCTCTCAAAAATAAATAACGAAACTTAAAAAAAAAAAGTAAATTCTACCTACAACTTTGGAAATAGTCCTTTTATTCAATTCTCAGTTACTCCATCTGAGTTTATCATTTTTTTGGTACTGGGGTGCTCAGATTAGTCGTTTGCTCGCCTGTGAAATGGGGGAGCTGACTAAGTCAAGTTCCTGATGCATCTACGTTTCTGGTGTGATTACCGCCAGTCACTTTTGAAGCCGGTGACCAGTTCTGCCAAATGTGTTGCAATCTGAGTTGTGTAAAGATACGCCTTCTGCCCTATTTGCAGTTCAGTATGACTGCCCTGTAAGCTGATAAAGTGCGGACTATGGACATGTCATGTAACTGCCAAGCCCATTTGATAAAATGTGTCCTAGGATTAAGATCAGGTTGTTTTTGTGGCTGAGATGTCTAGACTCCTGAGGCTTAAGACCTAAATTAGAATTGAAATAAAGAGGGAGGATTTCATCCCTTAACTCTATGGGTATTCTTCTTTCGGATCGTCTTGTATTGTCCCGCCCCCTCCACCTTTTGATGCCACCTCTGTGGATGACGAACCACCCCAAATAAATTTCCCACAAGGAGGGAAATACAACAGCAGAGAATTGGGCTGACCTCCAAACCCTGTGCAGATTTTACAGGTGAACCCCAAACTTGCTTGATCAAGTAAAATGGGATGAGCTCATAGGAGGTTGGCTCAGGGTTGGGATAGATCTTAAACGTCATTAGTTCTCTCCTCCATGAGATTGGTCAATGCCACATAGAGAAACTTCTCCAGGTCTTCCAAGCTCTGCTGAAACAGCTACAAGGACGGGGAACTAGAGACAGGGAGTGAATGGATTTTTAAAAACATGTCCTGTTTGATCTTGCCTGGATTTAAGACATTGCTTCTGACAAAGAGGCTTTTTTTTTTTTCATTTATTTTAGTATTTTTAAAGTTTATTTGTTTATTTTGAGAGAGACAGCAAATGCATGTGTAAGCATGGGGGAGGGGCAGAGAGAGGGGGAGAGAGAATCCCAAACAGGTTCTGTCCTGTTCGCACAGAGCCCGATGACACAGAGCTCGATCTCAGACACGAGGCTCAATCTCATGAACCGTGAGATCATGACCTGAGTCGAAACTAAGAGTTGGATGCTCAACCGACTGAGCCACCCAGGTACCCCAAAGAGGTTTTCTTTTTAAATAGGAAATGTGGAGTTCAGTTTAGATCTACGACCTGCTGTTCCGTCTCTGCCACCACCCAGGTTTGTGACCCTTCTTTGGGCCTCAGGTTCCTAATGGAACACTTAGGGAGGTGTCTTGGGTGCCATGATAAATGCTTCCAATTCCCTGAGCACTGCAAGCTTTTCAGAGTGCTACGGGGACTTTGCACTCGTGGGTTACCCTGAGATTACGGTAGAGTCTTTGTTTTTCTGACAGGGATTGAGAAGTATGACCTACTGGTAATACCAAAAGATTATTTGGTTTGCTCCTTTGGTAGCTGGAACAGTGATTGCACTTTCGGTAGCACACTGGCCCCGTTCACTTTTCTGTTGTGCCCCGGCACACTGGAACCATTGAGTGGATTTCAGGGATGCCGCAACATGAGCCTCCTTAGCTTTCTCCGTGGCCGGGCGGACATGTGGTCCTCTCCGTCTGCAAACTGTACCTGATTGCCCCATACGCATGTGACCCTTTCCCCCTGTGTATCCTGATGGGATAAAGATTGGGAAGTGTTATTCTCTCACCCCTCCCCTTCCTCCTGCCCTCTCTCCCTCCAGACCATTCTCTGTTTCTTCATGTTGCTGGTGCTCATCACCTCTTTTCTGTTTCCTTGTGGTTTATAGATGATCATGACGCAGTCCTGAGATTTAATGGGGCGCCCACAGCCAATTTCCAACAAGATGTGGGCACGAAAACCACTATTCGCCTGATGAATTCTCAGGTAAAATTTCTTCTGTGCAGCTCTGGAGTGAGGGAAGGACCACAGGATGGGCTCCAACATAGAACCCATCTGCTAGGAGCACATCCAAGATGCCAAATGAATTAAGTCCCATGACTTCCTGAGTCCTGGATTCCTCACTGGAGAAGGAGAAGACAGTGATCCCAAGACCCAACCTGGTGATGTGTTCGTGAAAAGCTCCCGGGGCATTAGTTTGTATTAACGGAGGTGTCCAGTGCCCAGAGAAAACAGAGTTATGCAGTCCCCGTAGCTGCCAGGTCATATCCGGAGTATTGCATGAGGGACAACATAGCAGAGAATATCAGACAGTGAGGGCTGCTGTGAAAAGTAAGTGAAGCAAGAATGTGGACATGTTTCGTAAGCTGTAAAATAGTCTACAAATATTGAAAGACACCATCACCACATGATTATGTGTTATATGGTGTTAGAATTCATGTATTACCTCATGCATTCCCCTAGATAATTGGCTTCCTGAAGTATTTCCAGGTAGCATATGCTGATTTCTCAAAACGAATAGAAACTGGAGACATACTCTTGCCACAGAGTTCTGTTAATAGATTTTAATTAGTGGTTTCAAAAAACCCCAAAAAACTGGAAGACATGAGTATCAAAACTAGCATGAGACGTCTGGACACCCATTCACCTCACTCATGACCGTCACTGTTTTCTGTTCTCTGAGTAAACACAAAGACTTTGGCTGTTTTACGTCAGTGTTTAGACTCTGTCCGTTGCCTGGGACTCCGTGGGCATGGAGTGCATTCTGGGGTGATCATCATGCCCTTTCTGCAGTGTTGCAAGAGGCCTGCATTTCTCCACTCCTCTGCCAGGGCTCCACTTCTGTTTTTCTCAGACAGTGATCTCTTCACTGCCTGCCCTTGAGGAACTCCCCAGCTGGGCAGAAGCTGCCTCCTACACGGCCCACTTTCCATTTGAGGCCCACACTCCTAGGAACCTTTTTATGAAGGAACTAGGATTGATGAACTGAACTTCTTTGCAAGTGGGTGCCATCTTGTTTTCCATTCTTACTCAAATCCCTTGATGATGATGTCACTTTCTGTCACTGTTCTATCCTCAGTAGACTCTAAGTGCTTTCAGTTCCTATTTATTATTTAACCTTATACTTTGGGTTCGAGTCTACTTTTGTTATAAACTATAAGAGGGCAGATTAAAAAAAAAAATAGAATGGTCAGCAAGGGGCCTCCTGAAGCACGTGGCATCAGAGCTAGACTTTGAAAGATGGGCAGGATTTGGAGAAATAGTGATAGGGAGGCATTCTAAAAAGTGGTATCGGCGGGACAGAGATGCCGATAGGAAATGAAGGAGACATTCAGACAGATCTGGCTATCGTGGGGGTGGGGTATGGATTTGTGTTGCCCTGTAGAGGGAGATGAGGCTATAACTTCCTGGCTGCTTGGACCCTGCCAAATCTAGGAAATCAGGCAGAGGAGTTGGGACGAGATTTTCCTTCTTTCTCCTTTTCCTTCTTGTAACCCAGTCCAAGAAATCCTGGAGCTGGAGGGCACCTCAGGAAGTGCTAAGGCTTAACCTGTTCTTCTATGTAAGATGGTTCCTGAATATCCAGGAGAGATGTTTATTCTGCTTCCTTCTCTCCCTCCCATCGTCCCCTTTCACAACTATGGGCAGTACTGAGTGGAAGGTAGGAGGCGGTATGTAGAGCCGCTTAGGGTTGAAACCCGCTCTGCTTCTTAGTGGCTACATGATCATGTGGAAGTTACTTAAGCCTCCTCTGTCTGTTCCTCTGTGGAGAAGGGGGGATAATAGTACCTTCCTCACAGCACAAGGTCGTTATGGGGAATAAGCCAGAAGACCATGCCGAGCGCCTAGTACCTGGCACATACATCGATGGATGATGGCCACTCTTACGTTTACGTGGGCAGACACTGAGATGGGCTTGGGGGATACAGTGGGCCCTTTCATGTGCTGCCTACAGATACAATCGTCATGCAGGGACACAGAAAGCTGCTACAGAGAACTGCAGAGGACAGGATCAAAGTGCTACCAGGGCTCACACAGGGAAATTTTCCCTGATCAGGGCTATCAGGAGTTGCGAGGAGGTGACACAGCTGTGTAGGTGTAGAGGATGAGAAGGGCTGGGGCCTCTCACGAAGAGGCAACAGCCTGGGTAAGGCCATGTGTGGAAGGGGGCAGGGGAAGGCGAGGGCCCGGGGAGGGAGTGATGCGCATGGGGGTGTGGTGAGCGCTGAGGCTGAAGGTAAGGGTGCTCTGAGCCAAGGCGCTGTGGTCAGGAGGATCCTCGGTGGCATGACCAGACTTGCACTTGGCAAACGTCGCCGGCATCCATCTGAGCAGAGGCCCTGCAGCGCGTGGAGAGAGGCACAGTTAGGAGGCACAGTTCGCCACAGTTAATGAAATGCCGGTAGTTGCCGCAGGGTAGAAATGAGGGGGAGGGTGGGAAGAGAACAGGTTCAAGAGCTATTTGGCATCTGTGGTCCACAGGTGTTAGTGAGGGGTGAAGGGAGAGGGGCAGCAGGTGGTACCGGGCTTGTGTGGCTGGCTGGCCGGCCGGAAGTCACAGGGATTGTAAGTAACTTGAAGACGTTTTGGGTTGTGAGGGCTAGGGTCAGAGAGGAGGGTAGGATAGAAACCGTGGCTCTGGATAGGGTTGATCGGAGCTGCCTGGTAGATACCTGTGAAGAGATGTCAAGCAGGCAGCTGTACAGAGGGGGCTGGAGTTCAGTGGAGGGCTCTGGGCCGGACGTGGGAATTTGCGAGTCATCTTTATCTGTGAGGCGATGAAACAGCGGGGCCGGATGAGAGCATGAGGGACAGGGTGTAGGCAGAAGTTCTACGCAGGGCTTTGGGTAACAAAAATAGAAAGAGGAGGTAATCAGCACTGTCTCTGCTGAGGCCAACAGAGGTAAAGATTGAAAAGCCCTCTTCTCTCGTTGGCAAAAGCGAGGCCACCCAGCACCTTCAACAGCAGCTGTCGGGGAGAGTGGTGAAGCCAGAAACCACATTGGAGCATAGGGTCAAGGGTGAGTGGGAAAGGCAAATGTGGATAGTTCTTTCAAGAAGGCTGGCTCTGAAGGGCAGAAGTGAAGTAGGACGATAGCTGTAGAGGGTCGAAGGCTCCAGGACCAGTTTCTGTTCTTCTCATTCTTTAGAGTGGAGAGAATGGAGTACGTTTAAAAGACAGTGGGAAGAGGGTCACAAGAGGGCACATGCTACGTGGTTACGCTTACATGAGGTTCCTAGAGGAGTCAAATTCATATTGACAGAAAGTAGAACGGTGGTTTCTGGATCCTGGGGCGGGGAGGAGGAATTATTGTTTAATGGGTGTAGAGTTTCAGTTTGGGAAGTTGTGTAGATGGAGGGTGGCGATGGTTGTGTAACAGCATGAATTGACTTCATGTCACTGTGCTGTACGCTTAAAAATGGTTAAAATGGATCATTTTATGTTGTATTTTACCACAAGAAAAAGTGTTTTTAAGTCAGTGAGGAGAAACCAGTTAATAGAGGGAGGAAGTGAATATAGTAAAAAGAGGCGATAATAAGTAAATCATGGGGAGGAGGGAGTTGATCCAAAGCCCAGTTGAGGATCAAGCCCCATAGGACGGAGTCAGAAGGGAAGAAGCCTAGGAAAAGTGTAGCTGGAGGTGGTTTACAGTGGAAGGACGAAAGGGCTTCTTTTTTCTCTGCAAAGGAGGATGTAAAGAAAAGGAGGCTTTTTGTAGGGAGGCTGAGGGGAAGAGGGATTTCCGCAGAGGAGGTTTAAGCAAAGAAAGCAAAGAGGAGAGCAGAGGAAGGGGCCAGCTAGAGGAACAGAGCAGGATTTCCAGGCCATGCTGGCCACTTTGGGGCTGGAGAGTATGAACTTGGAGAGAATAAGTATGATCTCCAGACTGGTAGGCGGCAGCGATCGAGAAGAGAGAGCACGGAGGAGCCCTGCAAAGTCTCTTGGATCTGGGAGGCTGCCCCCTTCTTAGGCATCTCTTCCAGACGATTAGTGAAGAGGTAAACCCCATCCTGTAAATATTTTAATTTAAGGCTATGGTAGGTTTGCCTACGAAGTTCTTCCAGGCTGGGGAGAGAAAGCCTACATCACGTGCATGGCCAGAATGTGTGCTGATTGGATTTCAACTGGGACATTTCTCTGATCACATACAGGGGCTTATCCTGAGACCATAGCCTGTGCCACTTGTTCAATACTTGTTTCAGGCCCAGGTTGGTATGCGCACCATTTCAGTGAGGCCATTTCAGTGGGGACACAAGGCTCAAAGAGTCTCAGTGAGTTGCTCAGGGGAGAGCAGAAAGGAAACGTTAGAGGTGGGATTTGGATCGAGGTTCATTTACCAATTTTCTGGAAGAGTTTGTGTAGAACTAGTATTCTTCTTTTTCTTTCTTTCTTTCTTTCTTTCTTTTTTTTTTTTTTGAATTTTGGTAGGTTTTGCCAATAAAGCCATTTGGACCTATAATTTACCCTGTGGGAAGTTTTTTTTAGCTACAAATTCAATTTCTTTAATAGACTTAGGGCTAATCGTGTTACTTGTTCCTTCTTGACTGAGCTTTGGTAGTTTGTGTCTTTCAAGGCATTTGTTCATTTCTTCTGAGTTATTGAATTTATTGGCCTAAAGTTGTTCATAATATTCCCTCATTATCCTTTTAATGTCTACAGAATCCGGTGTGATGTCTGATGTGATAGGACATCCTTTGTATTGGAATTCACAGGGCGTAAAAGGACTTTGGAGATCAACTAGCCACGAATTCATGCCACAAATTCTCATTGATTACCTGCTCTGCACCAGCCTCTGTGAAGGGAGCTGGAATTCAGCAGCCCGCAACAGCAGTAAAACAGAGACAGACGTGTTCCCTGTGCTTGTGGAGCCCACGATCTTGTGGGGTCATTTCATTTTCCAGACAGGATGACCGAGGCCCAGGAAGAAAAGGTGGTCCGCACAACCCACATAGGGTAATGGCAGACCCGTGCAGGATGAAGGCCT